GAAAAGAACAGAGAATGCCGAAACAACTCTTGCCACATTCAGCCATCTGATGCTTGACAAAGGAGTCAAAAATATATGCTGGAGGAATTATAGAGTAAACAGTGATGGAAAACTGGCTATCCATATGCAAAAGGCTATATCTAGACCTATATTTCATAACATGTACTAAACTAAAATCAAAATGGATCAAAGATCTAAATATTAAAATACGTATTTGCTAGTAATTAAAATAGAAAAAACTCTTAAAGTCACAAGTATAGGCAAGCTTCTGGGTAGAACTCCAACTGGCCAAGAAATAACATCAAGACTTTAAAAATGAGATTATATCAAATGAAAAGCTTCTGTATAATAAAGGAAACAACCAACAGAATGGGAATTACCTAAAGAATGGGAAAAAATTGGCACAGCTATATCTTGCATAGAAGACTAATGCTAATATATAGAATATATAAAGAACTCAAAAACCCAGACTCCACAAAATAAAGACTCAATCAAAAAATCTGCAACTGAAATGTACAGATATTTCCTAGAAAAAGAAGTACAAGTGATCAATAAATGCATGGAAAAAAATGTTCAATATTTCCGGCCACTAGAGAAATGTAAATTAAAACAACACTGACATTTCATCTTATTTCAGAAAGAATTACTATCATCAAGAAATCTGGTAACAAATAGCTGGCAAGACTGCTGGAGAAAGGGAAGCCTTATATTGTTAGTGAAAATGTAAACTAGTACAGTCACTCTGGAAATCGGTATGGACATTCCTCAAAAGACTAAAAATAGACATTCCATTCTACCCAGCTATTCTCCTTCTAAGTATCTTCCTAAAAAGTTAAAGACATGATACACGCATACCCATGTTTATAACAGCACAATTCATAGTAGTTCTCGGAAGTAGCCTCTATCTCCATCAACAAATAGATAAAGAAATTGTGTTGTTTATACATAATGGTGTACTACTCTGTTATAAAGAAGTATAAATTTGAATCATTTATAGGAAAGTAGGTGCACCTTTAAATGTTTAGTGAAATGAATCTGACACATGGCATTTAAAAACTTAAATATCACATGGCTTCTCTTATATAAGAAATCCAACATATAGCTACAGAGCAAAACAAAAGACAGATAATGGAAAATAAGGAGATCTTTCTCAAAGGGGAAGGGGAGCAACAAATGGAGGGGGAAGTTCAAAGGATAAGGGGCCATAAAAAATTAAGATGTGTTATATTCATATACCAACTCTCCACAATGAATGTAATCATTATGTACTGCAAACATGTGCTAATAAAGAACAAAGTAACAGATAATGGTAAATAGGGAGATAGATCTTTTGCAAATAGGAAGGCGAACAAGAGACAGAGGGAGGGAAGGGAGGAAAGAAGAGGAAAAAACCGCACACTAACAGCTTGTAGGTAGGGCAAAAATCTCAGACCTTTCAATTTTTGAAAGTCAATGAATGAATAAATGAATGAGGGAGAAAGGAAAGCCTCTGTTTATAGCCAAATGCTAAATAATAAATGTAGAAATAGAATGGAGTTACAAAATCATTAATGAAAGTTAAAAGTACTAGTTGATATCTGATTAGGAAGAGGATATTTACACAGTCTCAAAGTATCTTTTCACAAATTACTTATCAATTCTGAAAAAAAACAGGAATTTTTAAGTAGAGAAACCTGGCAGATACCACCATGAATCAAGTGATCAAAGTTAAGTTACCAATACTGGGATACATAGATAGCGTGTACTTCTAGGTATGATGCATGGAGGATACAGTTCTGTGGTATTCCTCCTAAAAACACACATTCTGAATCTAATTATAAGGCAGTAAAGAGCAAACCCAAAATGAGGGCTCCTTTCCAAAACAAATGGCTTATATCAGTCACGGCAAATCTGTAGCATGTGTGCCACAAACACGTATGTACTGCAAACATGTGCAATAAATACATTCTACTCTTAACCTCCACTGTTCCTAAAATTCATTCTTCAATTTTAGAGAACACGAACTTGTGGCTATAGTAGACTGGGAGTTTCATTCCCCTATATCATTTGGAGGTCTTCCACCAAGGTCACTGGACAGAGGTGAGAGTTTGCTTTTGCTTCATAGACTCTGGACTGGGACTCATTTAGGTAAAAAAATTTTATGCTTCAAATTTTGCTTGCTATTCGCCCATTGTTTTTAATTGCTTTATGTCATTTATTTTATTAAAATAATGTACTACGTGACTTGTTTCCCTATTTGTCCCTAATATACTCAATTTTACCTGAACTATTAATCTTGTTGGCTGACCACAGTTGTGCACCACATTATGCCCATCTGCCTTGTGAGTTCCAGTTTTCCCCACCATAAACTTGTCTCACCCCATGATTTGACTCTATAAAAGTCCCTGGAAAAGACAAGAGTCCTTGGCAACTCACTCAGGACCCCTTCTGTCTCTCTCAGACAGAAGCTTTCTTTCTCTAAATAAATATATTCTACTCTTAAAAAAAACATATTGTATTCCATTTGCTCAGCCTCAGTTGAGCTAAAAATTGTATCTGTTTTGATCTTTGAATTTCAGATATGAAGCCCATATGACTTTTATGATATACACTTACATGAATACATAGTATTTTATAAAAGATAATAAAATGAAAACTCTCTGAAATGAATTATTAGAGTTTAGATCTGGGGTATCACTCTGTTATAGTCAGGGTTTACAAAGAAAACAATTTAATACAGGACACGTAATTCATGGAATTTTTTTTATAGTAGTCACCCAAAAAGTCAAACATGAAAAGTGCAGGTAATCTGTCCACACACTAAAGACCCCAAAAAACCCAGCTAAGAGCCTAGATCACAAGGCAACATCCTACATGAGTCCAGCTGAAGACCCAGAGCCCACAACAGTGTCTCATGCAAGTTTGTTTTACAGATCTGCACTGGGAAAGACCAAAGGTCAGCAGTAGAAGCCAGAAAGTCTGTGCCACCGGGATGAAAGATCTGTGCCAGGAGACTGAGGATTCTGCACTGGAGCCAGGAAACGATGTTCAATGTAAACACCAGGGCCTTCCAAGAAGTACCATAACCATCCTCAGTAACAATGAGGTCCCAAGCTCCTCCCACAACAAGAACAGCGGAGTTCATGTCAGGAAAGCTGCATGACAAGCTTCTCCTGGAGACTGAACAGTATACCATCTTCTCCTCTGGAGCCAAGAAGTGGTAAAGACCAGAGCTCCCCCAAAGTGAACTATAGCTACTCCTAGTGACAACAAGGTCCCAAGCTCCTCTGACAATGAGAACAGCCACGTTCATATAAGAAGCTTAACAGGTTTCTTCTGGAGAACCAGTGGCAACAGGAGAACCAACAACACACAATTTTTTCTTCAGGTCTCCTTTTTATGTTGGTAACAATCCTCAGATAGGCTCTCCAGACCCAGCACCACACTGATTCAGTTCAGATGGTTGTTACAATTGTCAATCCAAAAGCCTCATGTGTTTGGAAGGAGACTCTCAGTAATCAGGGCCTACTCAGAGGAGGGTCACTAGGATGATGACCTGGAAAGGTACAGCTCCCTCCCTGGATGCTCTCTTTCGCTCTCTGCTTCTTGGCCACCATGACATGAGTAAAAAGCTTTCCTCTGTACCAAGCTCTTCCACCATGATGCTTCTGCATTTGAACCTGAAACCATGGACTGAAACTTCTGAACCTGGGAGCCAAAATAAGCCTCTGCTTTAATTTGTGAGTGTCAGATACTCTGTGCCAGTGATGAAAAAGTGACTAAGACACGAATACTCATGCACATGAAAAACGTGATTTTTCAATGACTTCCAAAAGGCAGTCATACAACTAAAGATATCTTAAGTTGAGTATCTCTCCCTTTCTGTACTCTTAACATATCATAATGCATATTTTAAGGCTCCTAACAACCATCAGATTTTAAAATTTCATGATTGGTTCAACAAAATCTATCTGTAATCATAGCTGCTTGGGAGGTTGAAGGAGGATTGCAGTTCAATATTGGTCTAGGCAACTTAGTAAGACCCTGTCTCAAAGAAAGTATAAAAGTCTGGGGCTATAGAAAGAATTGGGGTTCAATCTCTAGTACTGCCCCCCCAAAAAGAAAAAAAAACAGTAAAAATAGCTTTATATTTACAATTATACTCATGAATTTTTTTTTTTTTTTTTTTTTTTTTTTGTCTTTTGAAACAAGGTCTTGCTATGCAGTTCAGGCTGGCCTTGGGCTCACTTTGTAGCCCAGGCTGGTTTTGAACTTGTAATGATCCTCCTGCCTCAGCCTTCCAAGTGCTAAAATTACAGAAGTGTGCCACCATGCTCGGCTTGAAATAATTTAATTATTGCTAACACTGAAAATTATTGAATTCACCACTAAGAAGTATGGTCTAAATATCATGATTGAAAACAATTAATTTGCATTTGCTTTCATTATAAAGCAATCTCTACGCTATGTAATACCTAACAGTCATGTCTTTAAAATACTTGTAAATAGCAGAATATATTGAGGTAAAGAATACTCAATGCCTCCAAAGTAATCTCTTTTCCACTAGATTCCCTAGCATTTATATTATTTTAGACCATTAAATATATTTTTATGCTTTATCTTCTCTATTATACTTTAAACTACATGACAGAAATCATGTTATCTTCCTCCTTACTCTATCAATAAGCATTTTAAGCCTGTTCAGAAGGTAGTCAGAAAAAAAAAACCTTGAGCAATTTTCCTTCTCTCAAGATAATGATCTCAAGATAAATGCTTTCAAATTCTGAAATGAGTTAAGCTCTCACATGATTGAAATTATTATACAGAGATGTTCTAACAGTATCAATATCTTGTTGCATTAATATTTAAGCAAAAGTATTCTCAGCTAAACATTTTAACAACTTTATAGTCTTTTGAGGAAGTAAAATTTAAAGCATGTTACTTAAGCCAAAGTTTAGATTTAAGCATTTGAGAAAAAGATAGGCCTTTGGAAAATATTATGTACAACCATTAAATCTTACCTGAGGATTCCAACCTGGGTCTAATTTTTTAACTACTGCGATATATTCTTGCATTGCTTGGGTAGGGCTTGAATCACCAAGGGCTTTCCATGCTTCCCTATGGACAGAATATTCAAAATGGTCTGTCATTAACTATGTAAATAACATAACATAGCTCTTTTTATTATTAAAAAATTATGTACACATTTCAGGGGTTTGGGACATAGAAATAATAAACTGTGCAGAGAGGAAGAGCTCTGTTTGCATTTAAATTGACCTATTACTTTACAAACTTTCTGACTCAACTTAAGATGCCTTTTGGGAAATTTCTTTTGTAGTTGCCCACTTCTGTAGAATTTTAATAGAAGATACACTGCCTATTTATGAATTTTGGAAGGTCACTGCCACTGTAACCTAACTTTAATCAATCCCATAAACCTAGGTTTTACGCCTAACATGTGTATGGTCTCCAGAACAAAAAGGGTAGTTTCCATGTTATAACTATGTTCATGGCATTTTGGAGTATGGAAACGAATCATCATCACACTAAAAACAATATACCTTGGAGGAAAGCATATCAAACTTCCTACTACAGACTCTAGAAATACACCTTTGCTTTCTGTTCTTATTTTATCTATAAACCACAGGGTATGAGCAAATCATAAACTAAATGTTCAAATAAAATGTACCACAGTAAAAGATACATTGGTGTTATCCCCTCTCAAAATACTTCCTATTATTTGGAATAGACTTATTTGATCATTTTTGATATTTGTGAAGTGATTATGGAATTGGCTCTATGAGAAGTGATTAAAAAATATGGTGAATGCTGCTGCCAAGTGCCAGCCAATGGAAAGGTGAACTACTAAAAACATCATGGTATATCCTCATCTACCTTCTAGCTTTTCCCCAAATCTAAATGACCATCAAGGGAAAAAGTCTTGAGTGTATTTAAGACATCGAGGTAGCCAGGACAGAGCAAATAAAGACTTCCAGAACTGCTTCAGAAAATATCAAGAATGAGGTGTGTTCAAAGTGAGGGAAAGGATTTTTGAGAATTAATGCCAATGTGTCTTTTATGTAACAAATACTTTTTAAAATTTAAACATTCATTGTGCTTTTCCATCAGACCCAAAACAATCAATTTTGAGGGCTTTTAGGGACCTAAAAAATGAGGGGTAGTAAGGACACAAGAATACAAATGAATAATAAGGTGGCCAGCCATATAGCTTAGCAGCATAAGTTCTAGCTGACAAGTGCAAGGTCCTGGGCTTGAGACCTGATACCAAAAAAAAAAATTTTTTTTGAGTAAGAGGGTAGGTGCCCAGCATGGTGGCATACATCTGTAATCCCAGCCCTTGGGAGGCTAAGGCATGAGGATCACTGAGAGTTCAAGGCCATCCTGGGCTATATTATGAGTTCAAGGGTAGTCTGAATTACAGCAAGACCCTGTCTCAAAAAAAAAAAAAAAAAGCATAATTTTCCAATCATATACAAGGTGTAAAAAAAAAGAGGTGAATGCTTAAATTTTTTTAAAAATTGTATTACAGTAAAAGACACATTGCCATGAAAATACTCTCCTTCCCTTTGAACACATTTATCTCATCATTCTTACTACTTTCTGATGCCACTCTGGAAGTTCTCTTTCTGTGAATGTCTTCAGTTGTTTAGTCATGGCTGCTTTAATGTTCTGAATCCATTTAAAGCTTAACTTTTGTGGTCATCTGGGCTTTGTGTGCTAGGCCCAATGAATAAAGTGAAGATTAGACTCCTCATGTTCTTTGTAAGCCTGCCTTTCCATTGGCTGACACTTGGTGGCAGCATTTATGATATTTTTCATCATGGCATGTACAAACAAAAAAAGACTTCCAGAAACCAGCAAAAATGATGAGGATAAATGTGTTTGAAGCAAGGGGAACTAATGACACTGTGAAAAAAAATCTTAAGCAATAGTTTTGAAAGGTACACTCATACATATTCCTATGTAAAGAATATACATACCAACCTCAATGTATAAGAATTCTCTAGGAGATTAGCTAAAAGCAGATTCTTTTAATCCTTCCCCCAATGCCTGTCCTTAGTAAAATCTACAACACAAGGATTAACATAAAATAAATCTTTAATCTGCTTTCCAGTTTCTAATTCCTAAAAACCTAAATCACATCCAACAACCTTCTTAAAGATCCCAAGAATGAGCTAGGTGTGGTGGTGTGTGCCTAGCACTCAGGAAGGCTAAGGCAGGAGGATGGCAAGTACTAGTTAAACCTGGTCATCTTAGCAAGATTCTCAAAACTGAAAGACAATTTTAAACTTGCTAAAGATATAGCTCAGTGCAAAGATCCAGGAGACCTACTACTACAAAAACAAACAAACAAGGAAAACGGTTCCAAGAATTTCTTACCATTTCTGCTTTCCTTCAAAATCAAAGAAGCTTGGTTTAGGAGTATTGCAATTTCCAACTCTGACCTAAATAAGGAAGGGGAAAAAAGTCAAAAACTTACTTTTCAAACAAGTGGCTAAGAGCTTTTTTCAACTTTATTAGGTATGTTCAGCAACTCTAAAAAATATTCTCATATATACAAAATAGCAAAATTTAACTTCCTTTGCTAAACAAATGAAAACCAAACTAAACAGAGGTACATTGGACTTACTATATAAAATAATTGTTATTTAATATTATAACACAGAAAAATATGGGTGACGAATACTTTCATTCCTTAATAGACTTAATTACAAGATAAATTATACATCAGTCTTTACTATCATTGTAATAGAGAAAAAATTTTAAACATGGAATTAATAACTTAAGGTTCAGTTTTCAGAATTCATATGAATGTTTCTTCATGCTGATTCTCCTAATACTCTTAGTATTTTATATCTCCCAGAATCTAGGATAAAGATTGAAACTGATCAATGCAAATTTAGATGCTAAAAACAATGCAAAAAAATTCAGGAGTTCTCAGCAACAATATAAACTCTATTCTATCATAATCTCATTTGTGATCAATAACTGTATCATTTTTTTCCCCCCCGGAGACAGGGTCTCACTGTGTAGTTCAGGCTGATCTTGAACTTACTATGAAGCCCAGGCTAGCTTCAAACTCATGGCACTCCTCCTGCCTCAGCCTCCTGAATGCTAGGATTATAGACATGTGCCACCACACCAGGTTAGTGATTATTTTTAATCTTCAAATGACACTTGTAGTTAAACTACAAATTTTCACCAGGAATATAAATAAATTAAATTTGCACAAATGAAGAATTCACTGTACAGTCCAATTGCCTCGACCAGAAGTAATCTCCATCCCTCATGAACTCTTAATAGCATCTCCCTATACATCTACATTTCTTTTGACACTTTTATGTTTTCTACTTTGTGTCAGAAAGTGTTGTGTAAAATCTTATCTCTATTTGAACAGAACCTCTAAGAAACTATGCTTAACTTTCCACAACGCCTTCTTCATAGGGACTTCCCATTACCTTCTACTACTCTTGCACACTTGAATTTTCCTAAAAATCAATTCAATACCGTGATAACATCCTAATTTCTACTCAGAAATGTAGGGATTTTGAGTTCTGTGTTTTGCTCATATTACTCCATTTACTCAAAATGCCTCCTCTTTTTCTCTCAGCTTTTCAGAAGACTATACCTCCTGCCAGTCTTCCTCATAGTTCAGATTTTAAGAACTCTTTCAGTCTACATGGTTTCATTTACCTCTAAATTCATAAACTTTACTACTGCTATCATTTCCTTAGCTATTAATCACATGGCTAAAATTAAAATATCCACTTCTATAGAAGTAGGCCTGTTTTGATGGAAAGAAGGAAAGAAAAGATACAAAAGATGCTACACTTCTTAAACAGTCACCACAAACCAAATGCTTCAGGTTATCTCAATGAGCCATACAATAATCCTATCAGTTACGCCATTGCAAACACATTTTCTAAATAAGGATAGAGAAGTTCAGGATGGGGGCTGGGGATTTAGCTCAGCGGCATAAGCGCCTGCCTTGCAAGCAGGTGGTCGTGAGTTCGATCCCCGGTACCGATAAAAATGAAAAAAAGACAAAAAAAAGAAGTTCAGGATAGTTGTTTCAGTTAACGCATTAATAAATCTTAAATCAGTAGTACTGGAATTCAGGACTATTTGAACCCAAAGTCCAATTCTCCCCCTCTATATCACTACCTTTTGTGCTATACAGAATTCATCTCTACTTAAGTGCTATATAGAAAGTGGGCTTCAGTTTGGGCACCTCTAAAATCACATAAACAAATAGTTTTATAGTTTATCTTACTTCACATTTCTATTTAAGACATCATTAAAATAGCAGTTATTGGGGCCAGGGATTTAGCTCAGCAGCACAAGCACCTGCCTGGCATGGGTGAGGTTGTAAGTTTGATCCTTGGTACCAAAAAAAAAAAAGAAAAGCAGTTATACTAATATTTTTTCCTTGTCCAGATTCCAGCCAGTTGTGGAAACAAATGCCAATATCTGTTTTCTATGTCTCCTACAGTTATTGTCATGGCTGGATCCATAGTCATCCAGTTAAACTACGTTTGTCCATAGCTCTGCCTAGCTTCTGGAGGATTAGATGTGTGTGAAACTTATAAAAATATCTTCCTTTAAAAAGGGCTTTGTCTTCTCTTTTTCTTTGCCGTGACTAGAACATGCATATGGCAATGGTAAGCCTCCCTGGCCATGAAAGAGGGTTTTACAGCAGCAGTTTTTACACTTTGAGATCTTATAATCCCATTATTCTCAGAAATTAGGAACCCTAAAGAACTTTGGTTCCTATGAATTCTATCTACTGATATTTACTATAAATTAAAACAACTATTTTAAAATATGTATTCATATGAAAATTACCATACACTTGATACATACTAACGTGGTGTTTTATTTTTGTTTTTGTTTTTTGTCTTTTTGAGACAGGGACTTGCTATGTGGTTCAGGCTGGTTTTAAGTTTACTTTCTAGTCCAGGCTGGTCCTGAACTTGGCAACGATCCTCCTGCCTCACCCTCCTGAGTGCTGGAATTACAGGAATATACCACCACATCTGGCTATAAACTTTGAAGTTTATGAAAAACTACCACATATCTCAACATAAAAATTTTGTGAGGAAAACAGTGCTATTTTACATTTTATAAATCTAATAATGTCTAGCTTTGTTACATTTTCATATTTACTTCCATATCAAATATATCAGCATTTGTTCCTTTGGTTGAAGTAGAGGAAGAAAATTCAGCACCACAGAAATGCCATTTAAAAAAGTATTTTGGTGATATTTGCAGGTAATTATGATTATTCGTCTTTGATACTACACAACAAGTGGCAACTTTCTTTAAGTTAACCTCTTTAACTTGAATCTAAATTCAAATTAATGAATTTTTCATACTTACACTGAAAACTTGAAAAGTGTTGTTCTAATTTGCACTTTGAATGGATCTTATACCTACACATCATTTGTAAATTACTCAATTAAGTATTTAGAAAATACAGTTCCGAGATATGTGGCTTTTCCAAATATTGATATAAATATCATTATACATTAGCAAAGCTTCGTATTAGTTATTGTCACCATTTATCTCTAAAATTGTTTTTATAGTGCAGAAACTGTCAAGCTCATGGTGGCACAAAGAAACTTGGAAACAGTTTCTAATTTTCACTTGAAAGCTTAAATATTGTCATTGGCAACACACATGTGCAGTTGTTCTCCTTGAAATAACAGGCTCTGCTTCTTTCATTTCCAAGAAATTAACTGCCAAATAGTACTCATATCTTAATACACATAATTTATCTGTGAGTTGTTCTAAGTAAAAATAATGTTTCATTAAAAAAAGTGGATAGGTCAGTTTGGAACTCAGAAATCACATAGTGACTTTCCTCACAACAACCAACATGATTCACTACGCAGCTTAAGTACCTTGTACTCTTGTACTCAGGATAAATAGTTAATAAAAATAATTTTCACTGTGTTAAGACATTTAAGTGAAGCCGATTTTTTTTTTTAAGAGATGGGTCTCACTATGCAGTTCAGGCTGGCCTTGAACTCACTACGTAGCCCAGGCTGAGCTCAAACTCGCAGCGATTCTCCCACCACAACCTCCCGAGTGCTGGGATTACAGGTGTGCACCACTGTGCCTGGCCCAAGCCGACATTTTACTCTAGATACATTATAGCATAAGAAAAAAAATCCACAAAGAATGTCTTAGTATTAGTATAAAAGTAGTTCTGATCTTACGGATCCCCTGAGACAGTCTTAGGGACTTATAGTGGTCTGTGGGCCACAATTTGAGAACTTCTGCCTTAGAGATGGCTGAGCTATGACACAGAAAAATACAGGCCCTCAGGTGGTCTCCTGAAGCAAAGCCACCCTAACCTGTTCTCCAGATCACCAGAGTAATATGTGAGATAAACGCAAAGGTTTAGCAGCTGACACTCTATTGTAAATGATGCAGAAACTTTTATAATTCACAAACTCAAACAGTTCTCGAAGACTGGGGAAAATAAAATTCAAGAATAGCATCATGAATTGCAGTGTCCAAAACCAGTATATACCATAAGCATCTTAACACTGCTCTCTTAAGACAGATATAAAATTATCCCCCAAAAAAGTCTATCCAATGCCCTTAGAACAGAGTATCTGAACGAAGGTTGCCAATGACAAAATGCAAGTGAATCAAGTGTTCCAAAATTCAAGGACATGCAGGGTATCTTCACTTATGCTGTCACTGAACCTCTTATAAAATGAACCTAACAGAATTTGTAATTTGCATTGCCCTACAGTTTTTACAGGCATCAATTAGTTATTTTCTGCTGGAAAAGTGGTAGGCTAATACACAAAAGGAGCAAAAAACTTAACCAGTTAACTTAACCAGTTAACCAGCTCACAATATTTCACTTGAAAAATAAGATACTAACGATGATTCTAGTATTGATAAAGATATGTCCAAAGAAAGTCTTCTAGGAAAATTGGAAAAAATCCATCTTATAATGTTCAGAGAATGATCTGTTAGGTATGCAACAGGTCCTAGCACAATACTCGCTATATTCTTTTTTTTTTTTAAATCTTTTTATCGGTACCGGGGATCGAACTCACAACCACCTGCTTGCAAGGCAGGTGCTTATGCCGCGGAGCTAAATCCCCAGCTCCTACTATATTCTTGTTAAATATTTGAAAGTTTCTTTCTAATGTTATTAAGACAAAGTAAATGACCAAGACAAAGTAAATGACCAAAAAGAAAACAGATACAGAACTTTTGCAAGAAAGCTAATTCCAAGGTCAATTTGGGATAAACTGTCACTTAATGCTATCATTTATACTATTTGTACCCATAACTCTGATTCCCTCAGGTCATATTAACTGGAATCAAGTCTTCAAAACAAGGGTCATCTCTGTTCAATAAATTCAGCTTAAGAATACAGGTAGACTCCCCTACACACTATTATTTTAAAAAAAAGACAGGGGGGCTGGGGATTTAGCTCAGCGGCATAAGCACCTGCATTGAAAGCAGGCAGTCGTGAGTTCAATCCCTGGTACCGACAAAAACAAAAAAGACAAAAAATAAAAATAAAAAAATACAGGGGAAAATATCAAGATAATTCCATCAAAAAATAAAACTTTTTTAAAGACAAAATAGGGCATTTTCCAGAACTTCTATTTCCTCCAGTGTTCCAAAGAACTATAGTTTTCCTGAGCTGTTACTTTCGTTGGCAATTTTTCATGTGTTTATATGTAGATTCCTCGAGTACTCTGGAAGCCTTTTATGTAAGTTGCCGTTGTGATGCTCTTCCTTCTTTGTATTCTTTGTAGACATGACACCCAACTTTTTTGCAGATAAATACTTTGTTAATTATGATAAAGCAGTTATTTTTCATTCTGATACCTAATCAATGACTCCTTGAATGATAAATTAAATGCGAGTTCTATGAGTAACTCATACATTTTTCATATTTCCAGGGAAGGTTCAAAGCTTTACATAGAATCAAGAGGTATAACATAGTTCTGACTAATTTATCCACATGATTCTATAGACAAATTGTCTGCTCTGGGGTTGACTTTTCCTTTTTTGAAAAGAAGATTGTTTCACCTGGTGTTTTCTACCTCTAAAATATTTATGATTGTGTCTTAGATAGAACACATTGCAGCCCAAAAATATTTAGAGTCTACTTGGAAAATAAAAACACACTAAATTTAAAAAAACTAAATTAAACACACTAAATAAAAAGAAACACTATAGTTGTAACATTTTATTTTGTATTGCAGCACTTTATTACAATGATACCATTCTCTTAGGTATCAAAATATTTTTATAAACATTACCCTATATATTTCCACATGGCCTTGCAGCAAAAGTAAATGACAGTAAGTCTTATTTCATCATCCTCGTTTTGTACAAGTTCTGAGGCTGGTAAAGTAAAAAGGTCACTAAGTCAGAGGAGACATTGAAAAACTGTCATTCAGAGTCCAGCTAAATAAAATATCTCTCCTAAAAAAGGAGACAGATCTTTCCCACGTCTAGGATGATCAACAAACAAATACACATACGGACACTTCATTACACTTCACCTTAAACCATACGTTTGCTCTCAATTTTGGGGAACGCTGAGAAGTCCGCGTGTCTCTATCGCACCCACCCCTTCGCTACTTTACCTGCTTGTACCTGGCATACAGGTACAGGAGCTGCTCTCGGCTAGCCACCTGAATCAGGCCTTGGAGGTGTGCTGCAGCCTTCTCAAACAGCTCCGTCAGGCTCCTGGACGCCTCTGTCTCGGGGGTCTGGGGCATTTCCACATCGCCGGAGTCATCCCCGGAGCTCAGCTCTCCTCCGCTGTGACCCGTGACAGCGCCCGCGGTCACGAATGGTGTGGCCATGACTCCCTGCTCAGCAGTCCACTCGGTAAGGGGTCAGCCCTCTCTGACCTGCTGCGATGCGGACTCTGGGCCTGGCCAACCCGAATGGGGTTCACTCCGCGCCCCTCACCTAACTTAGCTGCCGCCTCGCCGATCGGAGTCCCCGGCGTGCAGAGCCAGCCAGCTCTGCCAACCTCCAGCTGCCCCCTTCCTCTTTGGGCTCCTTCCACGTAAAAGACTTCCCAGGTGCCGCCGCTGCGCCGCCGGGGGTCGGAGTGGATGGGAAGTGGCGGAGAGGGAAGCACCACGCCGCGCGCGGCAAGCGGCCCGCCGCTTTGGGGCTGGGCGGAGCAAGCGGGAGGTGGGGGTGGGTGGGGTGACCGAGCGGCGGAGAGAACGCCGTCCTCTACAAAGATTGGGGGACCTCACCAGAGGGTTGAACCTGGAGAATAAGCCCTCAGTCGTTGGGGATATCACGAGTTGATTTTTGTCACAAACTCGGGAACCCGCCGTTGGGATAGGCCACGAGGTGGGGTGGGGTCGCTCAGTGGTGTAGCGGTAGGAACCGGGCCGTGGGAAACATGGGGCTGAGGACAAAGGTTCCGGGCGCTTCTGCCTGACCCAGGTGGTGTGCTCCAGACACTCGCCACCGGGCAAGCGCCCGCAACTGAGCTGGAGAGTCTGGATGTTTTGAAGAATGAACGAAGTAATGGGCGGTGAGGTCTTTATGGGCGGTACAGTATTTATGATGAGTCCTCCTCTTCGTGTCTTACCTCTGCCACAGACCCTTGATCTCCCAGGGCTCTGAGAATAGACTTTATTCCTAGAACAATTTACTTACTGAGCTTAGCCTTTGCCCTTGTGCTTTGCAGGCACAAAGCAAAAGGTATGTCACAGTTTTAGTGTTGTAAGAATTGCAGCCCTCTGGTGGCACACTGGTGGCACAAGAAACCCAGCGGACATTCCTAGAGCTGGAGGAAACCAAACTCTATTAGGCCTGCGACCCAGAGGAGCTGTGCACTCCAAATTCTAGGCAACAAATAGAGGGGTAGGGAAGGTTTTATAATAGTTTACATCGGGTTGGATTGGGTCGGGTCAAGCAAAGCGGAATTTTACAAAAGATGAAGTTTGAAGATGTTATATCCTGAGTTGGAAGTGTGACAGAAACAGAAATTATTTGGAACATCTTATGATTGCAAGATAAGCTCAGAACTTTACCCATTGGAAGAGGTTGTGGAGCTGTGTACTCCGAGGCAGGAAGTAGGGACTGGTGAATCCTGTACTGTTCTACCTTTTTTTGTTTTCCTATTTTGTTTTTTTATTCTTTTCTTTTCTTTCTTTAAAAAGAAGGATAACAATATGTAATATAACAACCATTGTTAAATTTCTTTCATTCTGTTTTGAAAGCCTATATCATTATTGTTTTGGATTTGTTGTTGTCTCTTTTGCTTTTTGTCTTTCTTTTCTGACTTCTTTTTTCTTTTTAAAATAAAAAATTAATTAAAAGAAAAAAACATGAGTCGGGAGCATAAGGTTCTGACTTTCTTCATTACTAGTACAGTTAGAGACAAAGGGCTGAGTCACTCCCTTCCCTTAGTTCAGTTGTAAATGTCCCAGCACCCTAATGAGTATCCATGCTTCCATAACCCTAAAAAGAGGCAGTAGAGTTACAAACGGGGAGATTGTGTGAACCATTCCCTTCAATCATAAACACAGTGCTACCCTAATGTTTATCAAAGTTTAAATTTAGGAGATTATTATACCAGAAACAGGCAGATTACTGACATCAGTGAGAGAGACCTTGGATCAGAGGTGTCTGACCATATAAATACAGGAAGCCTGAGTTATCCAGCCCCTTCTTTTTCCCTTTATCCTTCTCCCTGTTCCTGCTACTGTCCCTTGATCTTCCATAAAGGTAGCCTCTTACTACGCACTATGAGATGTATGCTTGGCAGTTCTTTCCTTGTCCTACACAGACAATTGAACTGTTTCTGGCCCACTCAACTCTAACAGTTCTACCCTAAAGGAACTTACAAAATTGTATCTGTGTGTGTGTGTGTGTGTGTGTGTGTGTGTGTGTGTGTGCATGTGTGTGTGTGCTTTAGGCAGCTAAATTAGATAAAAAGATACAGAGAAGGATTGAGCCTTCAAAATAAAAAAAAAAAGATACAGAAAATAAGATCAGAATTGTGGCTGGAGGCAGATCTAAAGACAACTAAGGCTTAGGGTGGAGAACCAACAGCATGCTCATCTCCTAGAGATAAACAACAATTTGAGATTATACTATCATTAACGCCACTTGGTATAGTGGGCCCAGATAGGAAGCAGACTCATAGGTGGGTAACCAGCACATCTGGACCTGTACTGCCCTTTCTTTCTGAAAGTGCCTTTGTTCTTTCCATGCCATGTTCTTTCCTTGCTATATGTCTTGTTTCCCTGTTGGATCAGTATTAGCTAAGTGGCTATATTGTAATCCTGTAGGTTGATTATAGTCTGACCCCTATTGTACCACCTTGTGATTTTGCTGTATAAATTTATGGCCAAAAAATGCCCTCATTGGTCACCCATTAGGTAGTTTAGTCTCTTGCCACAGACGGGTTTTTTTTTCTTTTAATTTTATTAGAGGAGTAGTAATAGTTCATGCTTTTGGATTTGTCTAAAATTTCAACTGGAAGCTACTGAGGCAGGAGATGGAATGGTAAAGCTGGGTAGGGAAGTAGGCATGACCTGTTAATGGCAAAATCTCAGGACATGGGCAGAACAGTTCTTAAAGTGTGGACTTGGACACACTCAAGAACTCAAGCACTTTGGATAGGACAGCCTAGACCTGACATCAGCCCAAGGAGTGGTAGATACAAAAGGACAATCACCAATGAGGTCTGTGCTACCGTGTATTTCCACAGTATTCCCCTCTCTGGAGAGTATACCTTTTATCTTGTTTTTCCTGGCCCAAACACTCTCTATAAAGCATATTTCTCTCCTACCTTTAGTAAACATAAAAGTTTGATACTGTGTGTGCTTGAATTCTTTGTTCAGGACAGAAAGAATCTGGAAACCATCCGCTGGAAGAGACTCAGCACTCAAAAATCCTATAACAATGTGGGACAGTTCACCTCTGTAGGAATGTTGTTATCAGTATCAAGAAAATGAAATGTGTTTGTGTTTCTCTTTGCAACCTTGTCACTCTGTCTCTTTTCCAATGAAAGGATCTTGAATCCTTGAAAAAATGATTGCTCGTGTATAAGGGTACCAAAAGTAGGCATTCTTTTTAATCCACATACTTCCATATGGGGGTTAAAAGGGAAATAAAAATCATGCTCTTCCAAAAAAACATGATATAAGGGTGTGACAATCCAGTGTCTGAGCAAGGTTCCCACATGTGACAGCAAGAGAGACCCTCACCCTGAGATATAGTGGAAACTGACCTCTGGGTGACACCAAGATAGCTATCTCCAAAAAAACATGTATTTATGAGCCCAAAGCAATACAGCTTAAAAGCTCATCTTCAATCTGCCATTTGCTCTTCTTTGTCTCTCTAGCTCACTAGAAAGTTTTTTTTAGCCTGCCCAGTGACACGCTGAGTGGCAGGAAGCCGCCTGCGCTCTGCCTTCTGAGCCAATAGTGCCAGCAGTCATTTCCATCCCACAGGGAAGCATTGGTGTGTCCCTCCCAGACTGATAGGGCCCTACTCAGCATCCACATCACTGGGGGGCCCACAGGAAGGTCTCTCCAGGCCAATTTGGGACCTGCCCAGCGACCCCCAAGTGACCTGCAGCCACCTGCACTCCACCTCACGAGCCGAAAGTATGCACAGTGATTTCCTTCCCACAGGAAAGCCTTGGCACATAGCTCCAAGACTGGTAGGGCCCGGTCCAGCAACCCCAAGTGGCTGGGAGTCACCTGGTAAGGTCTGTGTAAGGATCTCCACCAAATGGGGAAACTCCCTGCAATAAGAATAGACATTCTCAACCCAAGAAACAACTGAACCTTACCTTCGGCTTCCCTAGGGAATATAAGAAATAACAAAATAAAAGAGCAAAATGCAATCTCAGATCACCAGCCCATCCCAAGCAAACCTCGGAGACACGGACATGAAAGAAAATGTGAGCTCTACTCCTGAAACTGGAAGAATGGATCAAGAAACAACATCCAACCATGTGCTGTATACAAGAAACGCATCTAACCCAAAAGGAAATTCATAGACTGAAAGTCAAAAGATGGAAAACAATACTTCATGCAACATGAACCAAAAAAAAAAAAAAACACCTCAAGGGTAGCTATTCTACTTGCAGACAATGTGAACTTCAAACCAAGACTGAGAAAAAGAGATAAAGAAGGTCACTACATACTGGCTAGGGGAAAACTTCAAGAGGAAGAGATAACAATCTTAAATATATATGCACCAAATTTGGGAGCACCCAGCTATACAAAATGAATATTGACAGAAATGAAAATCAAAAAAGCAATAACACAGTTATAACAGGAGACCTTAACACCCCCTTGACACAAAGAGACAAATCAACTAGATAGAAAATCAGCAAAGAAATAACAGAACTGAATCACACCTATGAACAAATGGACTTAGTGGACATATACAGAGTGTTCCATCCAACAACATCAGAATATACATTCTTAGGGCTGGGGATTTAGCTCAGCGGCATAAGCACCTGCCTTGCAAGTGTGTGGTTGTGAGTTCGATCTCTGGTACTGATAAAAAGAAAAAGACAAAAAACAAAAAGAATATACATTCTTCTCAGTAGCACATATGACATTGTCTTAAATAGACCATATACGAGCCCACAAAACATGCTTAAGTAAATGCAAAAGAATTGAAATTATCCCATGCATGTTATTGGATCATAGTGCCATAAAACTAGAAATTAATGACAAAAGAAACTGCAAAAACCCTACAAACACATGGACATTGAATAATACACTCCTGGGCAATCAGTGGCTTACAAAGGAAATTAAAGAAGAAATAAAAATATCTACAAGCAAGCAAAAATACAAATACAACTTACCAAAATCCATGGGATGCAATGAAAGCAGTCCTCAGAGTACAATTTATTGCAGTGAATCCCCACATCAGGAAAACAGAACGAACACAAACAACATGATGCTACACCTCAAACATCTAGAAAAAAGAAAAGCAAGTCAAGCCCAAAGCCAAAAAAAGGGAGGAAATTATAAAGATCAGAGCAGAAATCAATGTAACAAAGACTAAGAAAACAATACAAAGAATCAATGAATCAAAGAGTTGGTTTTTTGAAGTAATAAATAAAATTGATAAGCCTCCAGCCAACCTTATTAAAAATAGGAAAGAAAAATCTCAAATTCATGTAACAATGGATGAAAAGTGTAAAATCACTACTGCCCCTGTGGAAATACAGAAGATCATCAATACCTATTTCAAAAACCTCTACTCTCATAGACTTGATAATGCAGAAGAAATGGACAGGTTCCTAGAAACATATGAATTACCAAAACTGGATCAAGAAGGTGTAAAACTTCTGAATAACTCAATTTCAATTAATGAAACTGAAAGTGTAATT